GAGCTTGGACATCCACCACACCAGAATTAGCTTCAACATTTTCGGGAGTATCAGCCATGGGTGAAGAAAAACTTTGGTTTTGCTGAGTTTTTTCAATGGTCTCCTGAATCTTTGTTAACTCAGCGTCCAAGTTAAAACCTTCCTGGCTTACCTCCATAAGAGTATCATGGCGCGTGTTCAAAATGGCCCAACTAACTTCAACAGCGGCCTTGTCTTCAAGAGCTTCGTAGTCTCTTTCCCAATGATCAATTTCACTCTTGAGCTCCTCCCTCTTAGCTAATGCATCATCGTAAGAAGTCTGTAAGGGGGCAAGCGAACTCTCCAAAAACTTAACCTTATCAGAAGACACTCGGAGATCTTCTTGGGTCTGGGTGAGTGTTTGAACAAGCTCACCAGCATAAACTTCTTTCTCATTCAACAGGGCCTTCAGACCTCTGATCTCTTCTGTAGCTTTGGGGAGTTGTTCAACAAAAAAAAATGACTCGAGAAGGTCCTTATCCTTGCCCGCTTGGTTGGAAGAAGCTTTCTTAACGGCTAACTCCGCTGCCATGACTCTTATCTGCTACTCCAAGGTACATTTGTTCTCTTCTAAAACTACCATCTCAAGCTGGAGGATTTCATACTGCTCTTTCCAATTATCTACCTCAATTTGGTAATCATGCATCAACTGCTCCGTATGGGAAACCCTTTTAATCATCTCCGTGCCGATGAGATTAATCTACATAAAGAGAAAAGGATAAGAATCCTAATAGAAGGAAATTGATATAAGATATAGAAAGGAGTCTGTACCTTCAATGATGATTACACGATGTGGTTCATCCAAGTCAAAGAACTATGACTTTCTAGCTTGGACTTTTCAGCCGGACCAATCAAGGGTTTTAACCATACGTCAGCCTGGCCTGACTTCTTCAGAAGATTACCACCGGCAGGAACTTCAATGGTAATTTGTTTCATTTCCCTACTTCCACTTGAAGAACCAATATCAGTACGAGAAATATTGGCAGCAGGGACAGTTGAAGAAGTCATAATAGCTTCAGGCGGAGCAGAAATAGCAGCAGTAAGAACAGGCAAATGGCATTCCATTAGGACAGATACGGGAAAGGAGGCAAGAGGTACTTCCTCGGACACCAAGTCAAAGCTTTCATTATCAAACCCACGTGAAAAGAGGTGTTCAGCAGAGTCACGAGGTGCCATGGGCGTCTCTTCATCAGAATTCACTAAAGTAGCTTCAACAGGCTCGGTCACGGGAACAGAACGAGGAGGAGGAGTAACTTCGTCATCCGAAATGACGCGTCTTCTAGCTCGCGGCTTTCTAACCAAAGAGCTTCCATCCCTCTCCACCTCATCTTCAGAATCCTGTGGTCTGTCAGCTTTTATTTTCGATGAAGAACTCAATATTATCTCCCGAGCTCTCGCCAAAGAAAGTTTAGAAGCTGTGATTGACTCAGCACCTACGCCACGAATAGAAAACCCTGATAAAAAGAGGGGTTAAATAAATTCTAATGAAAGAATGAATAAAAAATAGAAGGGAAAGAATAAAATTTTTACCGCGAGTCTTAACCTTCCAACCAAACCTATTCGAAAGGTACTTCCAAGATCTAACTTCCATCAGAGCAATTGTCAACAATTTTTTTACCCAACCACGGAAATTGGGAATCTCTTCATCAGTTCCCATGGTTGCTGAAAAAGAGAAGTGAAACAGTCACGGGAAGTACAAACTCTTAAAGAAAAAAAAAAGAAAGTTGTAAAGAAAACTTACGTGCAAAATTCCACTTCTCAGGGAAGGGCATATTTTCTTCACCTACTAACCCTTTCGTAGGAGCAGCAACAAATCGGGAGTACCAACCTCGATCTTTATCGTCCTCAGGGCTGACTAAAACTCTCTTACTCCTCGCCACCAGAGTAAAAATCCCATGACGGAATAACTTAGGGGAGTAGAGATGGATTAGATGAAAAAAGGTGAAAGGCAATTGAGCCAAATTAGCCAAATATATTAAACATGCAACAACCCTCCATAAAATAGGGCCAATTTGTCCTAAACACACATTGAAGAAGTGGCAGATTTCAATAATGACTGGATCAATAGGGGGTCTAAAGTTCAATGTAAAGGGGTACGTATACACAAAAGAAAAGCCAGCTTTGAAAGAAGTGATCTTTGATTTGCATTAGGGATCAGAATTGGGAAATAAACTTCCAATGACAATCTCTACGAACAACAGAGATCAAACCTTCAGTAATTTGTGAAGGGTAAACATCGGCACGATCGTGAGAGGACATAGATGAAACCTGGTTTCTAATCAATTCTCTATCAGTATAAAAAGAAAGTTCAGAAGGGATAATCTCCTCTACTGTAGGTTTGCGGATTGGCTCATTAGAATCTCTACTTCTAGCAGAAGACCTATGTGGAAGAGAAGCCCTAGTCCTAGAAGATGAAGGAGGGGTGGAACTAGGTTGAGAAGAAGAAGAACCTCGAATGGAAACTGACCCTAAACTACGCAGCCTACCCCCTCTCCTGCTTCTAGTAGGAGTAAGGGGAAGTTCATCTACGATAAGAACTTTTTGAGGATTAGGGTTTGAATAAGACATAACTGTACGAAGAAGAAGAGAAGATTGAATGGCCAAATATGGAAGACTTTTCCATGAAAGAAAAGACAAAGGATATATTTATACTCAGAAGCAACCGTCAAACAAAAAGGTACATATGGAAACGTCATAATGAAAACTGTCACTTCGTGATTGATGTAGCCGTAAAAAAGCCCTAAAAGGCGCTGAGGAGTTACAGAACCAATCTTAGGGCACCACGCATCACACGCATTAAATGGAAGTAACATACGAAGTGTCAGTTCAGAAGAAGGTATAATGGTATGTGGGAAACGGCGGTAAAATTCCCGCTTTAATGAGATCCACTTCCCAAATATTCAATTGTTGAACAAATGGCAAGTGGGGGGACTATCTGTATTGGGGGAAAAATTGATATTACACTTAGACACGTGAATTTATTAGTGACAGCTGGCAAAGAGTACTTAAAGAGATACGAGTCTTATTAGGTACGGGCGAAGTATCATGAAGACAAGAAGGAACGGTCACTCGGGCCTCTTGATAATTTGAAGAGACACTGGTGGAATGAACCAAGGCAATAAAACGTGTAGATGCGTAATGTCTGTAATTAATGAGCGTAAATGATAGGCAACGTTATAGAATCTTCACGAAACAGTTACGATTGCTAATTATAATATTTTATTAATGTCATTAAATGCTCATAATGGCTTTATTATGAAAGGAAAGAAACGTTGTACTTGGAAATAGCTATAAAAGAGAGAGAAATAATATTTTTATGGGGACACTGATTATTATTGAAATATACTTATTTACATTGTTTATTCGACTACTTCTCAGTCCGATTTTCTTTTATTGTTATATAATTATTATTTTTTTATTTGATTATCAGTAACCCGAGTTCTTCTAAAATTACGTTTTGACCGAATTTCTTATTTTCTGGTTAAACGGAGTTGAGTAACGCCTAATATTGAGTAGTTTTTCTTCCATCCAATAAAAGCCAAACAATAGAACCCGCAATGTTTCACAATTACACGTTCTTATTCCAGAATCAACTTCGTTTTCGTACTTACAATGCCAAAGTACAACTTTACAACATGAAAGTATAGTTTATGACAATTTGGATCTTCTTCATAGCAAGTGTTGAAAGGTTGAATTGCATTTTCAATCATAGGAATATCTTCTAATACTGCAACTCTAAATATTTAGCAAAATACGACATACAAATCAAAAAAAGGGGTAAAAGTTGTTCATGTATCCACGAAGATTCCACCATTCCTATCTCGTTTGAAATTCCACCATGAAGGTTCATTTGAACTTCCCTTTTATTTAAAAAAAAAAAAACTTTATAAAGGTTTACAAAATAAAATGAAAGGTACTTATAATTTGGTAACAATTTTGGTGATGTTGCTCTTGTCCACTTGCTTATATGGAAACTCATTATTGATCTTTTTCTTGAATCAAAAGTTGGTAGACAAGGGAAAATAGGTACGCCCTAAATTGAGATGGTAAAGAACATCCACCTTTTTCTAATGGAAATAATTTGCGCCCAAAGCCAACAATTGCAGAATAGGAAGCATTGCAAAGACTGGTTTGGTCGTTACTACATCCAAACGTAAACGAATTGGTCTTTGGTCTAAAATAAAATAAATCACATCATCTACCATAAAATCTTTTGTTCTAGTTTCATCCGTATGTTTCCTATCATAGATACACTCAGAACTATTGTGATCACAACGAAAATCTGGTTCCGCTAATACATAGATTTGAACTAATTGACAGTGTTCAAACCTTATTTTTCATAGTAAGAGTTGTAAACCGAAACCTCTCTCACACACATTCCGTAACTATTGGATGGTGGGTCATGTTAATAACTTGGTTCTGACAGTTAAAAGATTTTCTCATAACCTCCTACATGTATAAGTGAAGAATAAGTTATAGATTAATGTTATAAGCCATTGTTTTAGACAAATGGGGATTGTAGGATAACGCTAAAATATATTTTGGGATATTCTATGATAATTGTAGAATATTTAATTTACTCTCCCTCTAGTATATGTAAGGTCTGAATTAATTGTATAATATTTATTTTTCTTTTCGTTTACTCTCCTACTAAAAGAAGCATTTTCAACCCATAAATTTTAACACATAACTATTTTTAACATGTACTTATTTTTAAATGTGACAAGTAACAGTCTCTCTTAATTTGAACGGATAAAAAAAATTAGATTTGGCAAGTGTAGATGATGTCTTATCTTTAAACCTATGATCTATGAGAAATTATGATAGGAAAAAAAAATTCTTACAATCACGAAGAAATTTCTTAAAAATTTCTTACTCCCTGCAAATCCTACGCTTGCCAATGCACGATTCTAGCAAAAAAGATTGCTAATAATGGTAAACTTGGATACAACTTTAAATTGTAATTTAGAAATTTATACACTTTAATCACATGCATCTAAGTCGAAGGACAAAGTATTTGCCGAAGTATCAAAAGTTAATGCTACACCTTGTAGTTGATTAACACCTAATATTGAGATGTCTTGATCTGTTCCTACAAAAGCCAGGCAATAGTGACCACGAAAGTGAACAACAACTCGCTCTTGTGCCAAAAGCAACATTGTACCTGGATTTTCACTGCCAAAATATAACTTTACAACAGGAAATACTAAACCAGGACCATTTGGATTCTCTTTATAGCAAGTGTCGAAAGGTCCGACTGGGTTGTCAACCATAGGAATATCTTGTACTTCAGCTCTAAACGCATAGCGAAATATGACATAAAAATCCTTGGGAAAATGGGTAAAGGTCGTTCCTGTATCCACGATGACTCCACCATGCATATTTGGTTTGAAATTCCACCATGAGGGATTGACCAAAACTTCTTTGTCATTAATAAAAATTTTATAAAGGTTAACATAGAAAAATGAACGGTACCTTCTGTTTGGTAGTAATTTTGCTGATTTTCCTCTTGGATATGAGCTGTTATGAAAACTGATGGTAGATCCCTTTCCTGAATGAAATCTTGGCAGACACATGGAAAATAGTGACGCTCCAAATTGTGATCGTAAAGAATATCCAACCTTTTTTTGTGGACGTACTCTGCGTCCAAGGCCAGCAATTCCAGAGAACCAACCACTGAAATTTGTTCCACTGGTTTGATCTTTGCCACATCCAAACATAACCCTAATTGGTCTTTGGTCTAAAACAAAAGTAATCACATCATCGGCCATGTATCCGTTTGTTATTTGTCTACTCCCATATGTCATTTCATAGCGACACTCAGAACTATCTGGATCACAAGTGAAAGCGGAGTCCTCAAATATGCAATATTTTGTACCGTATCGCAAGCAGTCAACTTTTCGAAAAGTTTTCGATGCAGTGGAATTATATAATGGATTTTGAAACTTTTGTTTGTAGCACTTATTTTCCTCACATGGTCCACATTGCCACCAAACTAAATCACTGCCAGTGTCAATTACGAAAAAACTTCTAACTTCTTCACTGCCTAACAAAAAAGATGCAACATACTCGCCATTTGAGTAATAGGCACCGGTTGTTTTTGGTACAAGTTCGCGCATCTTGCTCCCTTGCGCGTCGTGTTGCCTTGTCAGAGTTGCATTTGCATCAATTGGATTGTCATTTGGAGGAACCGTCCCTTCTTTAACATCGTTACCATTTTCAAGAATTGAAGCCAAATAACTTGCTCTAGCATGAGATCGAGCAAGTCTACTTTCAAGCAATGAGTCGTAGTCCTTGAAGTTTAATTTTTCAAATACATCGCGATGGTAAATAGTGAAAGTATAGGACGGCATTGGAGGATCTGGAAGCTTAGTTGGATCAAGTGACATGAATCTTTCTTTAGCTAGGTTAATAAAAGTGGAGTTAAGGGGTGAAAGATATTTCTCATTAGCCGAAACAGCAATCAGAATTGAGAAAATAATTGACCTCAAAAGATGAATATGGAACAGGTTTTCCATTTGTATAGAACTTAGTGTACGAAGGTATTTTATCAATTCTTTCATTCGGTATGAAATAAGATCACCACTTCCTGAAATCATCTATATATTTTATTGTAAAATCTTTAATTCTATGCCAAAATAGGAAGAAAAACCAGAGCTAATTATAGAGATTTGATTCTCTTTGAGAAGCCATATATAGTGTAAAGAACTAGGAATGAAATAATTAAATACTCAATAAAGAGAATAATAAATTTTTTACCTTTTTTCCTTTGATATAATTAATATTAAGAGGATCAGAGTTTGATCACCTACTGATTTTTATCAAATGAAAGAAGATATTTTGATTTGGTACAAAATCTGATGAGATAACATACAATAATTAGGTAAAGAATCTATAATATTTAGGAACTTTATTATGTAACTTCACTACTATTCACATTGTATTAAGCATCCATTGACGAGAGACGGTACACTTGGGGAGAGGTGATCAGACAGGATATAGCGAGGCTTCAGATTTCCGAGGACATGACACTTGATAGGAAGATGTGGAGGTCGAGTACTAGGGTTGTAGGTTAGGAAGTAGTCGAGTCTTACCTTACTTCGTATCTTTGTGAGACTAGTCTGGTAGAGTTTTTGTCTAAGATAGCTAGTAACAATGTTTTGTCTTATTATTTCGATTTTCAGTGCAAGACCTATTTTCTACCTATCGCTTTTGCTTTGCATCTTTCTTCTGAATTTCATGTTGTCCCTAATTTTCCTATGATTTCTGTGATGATACTAATATTGTCTCTTTTTGTCTTTTTGTTTTCTTGAGCCGAGGGTCTTTCGGAAACAGCCTCTCTACTCCTTCGGGGTAGGGGTAAGATCTGCGTACACACTACCCTCCACAGACTTCACTAGTGAGATTTTACTGGATTGCTGTTGTTGACAAGGGACAGCACTCTGGAAGGATGCTTAATATAATTTGAATAGTGGTGAAGCTCGAATACTAAAATATAGGTGAAAACCTACTTAACTTGGTTGTACGTTTAAGTTCGTTAGGTAGGGTGATTGAGATATGAATTTTAGGAGGCTGGACCATTGCTATTGTCCTCACATTTGGAGATTGAACAAGCCCTTTTTCGCCAAAAATTTATGTAAGCTCACTACTAGAAATTCGATAAAAACCGATCACGGTTGACCGACTAATTTTGTTTGGTCAAAAAATCGGCCAAAAAACTGACCAAAGTTGGTCGACTTTTCAAATTTTCTTTTTTTTATGAAACTGACCAAGTTTGGTCGGTTTTCTTTGGCGCAAAAATGCGGGAAAATATTTTTGAGTCCCGCAAAAATTATTTTTCAAGAAACCGACCAACTTTGATCAGTTTTTCATTTAAAGTAAATTAAAATTAATATTAAAAAAAACCGACCGAAATCGGACAGTATTTTTATTTTTTAATAAAATCGACCAACTTTGGTCGGTTATTTTCATGTGAAAATACAATTAAAGACTATAAATGAAATAAAAGACAGTCTTAAAATAAAATGCACCAATGGTCTAGTGGTAGAATAGTATCCTGCCACAGTACAGATCCCGGTTCGATTCCTAAATGGTGCATTTTTTAGTTACATAATTAAAATACCGGCCAACTTTGGTCGGAAAAAACTGACCAACTTTGGTTGGCTTTTCCAGCAATATTCTTTTTTTTTTTTAAATTTAATTGACCGACCAAAGTTGGTCGGTAATTTCCGACCAACTTTTGTCGGTATGCCCTTCCGACCTTCAAAATACCGTCCACACGGAAATGGTCGCGTTTTGGACAGGTTATTGGCCATTGCCGACCAACTTTGGTCGATTTTTTTGGACGGTTTTGCCCGGATTCCTAGTAGTGACTTTTTACAAAGTTAGTAGTTCACTTTGGCTAATAGTTTAGTTATTCTCGGAGGAGTTCAATTTCGGTAGCTAGAGAAGGAGAGGGATGGTGTACACAAGGCCCTCAAAGAGATTCACCATCCTATGGTTGACCGACGATTACTAGCAATTCACTTTATGCAGGAGAGCTGCAACCTGAAATCTAAATTGTGGACGGGTTTCTCCCTCCCACTTCTTATATCATCTATGTGTATCTAGTGTGGAGTAGCACTCCTGTCCACAATATACAAATAACCAGTGGGAAGCAAAATTCTACCAAGGGGATTTAAAAAAAGATAAAAATCTACACACACAAAAAAAATCAAGAGGATCCAACCAATATATATACATAAAAAAAATTTAACCTTGTATATAAAATGTATATTTTGGACGAAGGTGGACGAATCCCTTCCACCACATGGCTCTGCCCAGACAAATAACCTGACCTCTTTAAAAGCTTCAGGTCAATTAGACCATGTAAATGAGTTTTTCATAATTCTATTGTCTTAGTGTGGGCGTTTGTGTCTCTCAAGTTTGTAGCACCCCAAAGTTTCTTTAGGTGGATTCTTCCCTAAAACAGTATGAGTTCTAATGCCACTCTGCTGAATATCATTGAGTCACATTCAAAGATGATTTTTCCAAAACCATTAGCATGATGCCATCAAATACCAATCAATAATGTTTTGCTTCTGCGTAGTTCTTTCCCTTACGTGTTTGCCCTAATTTTCTTATAATATATTTTCTTTTAAGGGGTGCAACATATTTATCGTAATTAAGTTTTCCTTTTACTGAAAGAAAAATACGAATCTTCCAAATTCGGCGAATCTTTTTTTTTTATTTGGAGAAAAATATTTTGTACTCACATAAATTGAGGTCATTCCTTCTCACTTGGTAGCATCCACAATGTAGCGTATCCTAAGGAGTTTGAGAATCTTGTTTAAGAGAAGGATTTGTAATACAAACTTGTATAAAACTCTTTAAGAAGTAAATTTTGTGAGATTATTTTCTATAGTGGACTGCTCAGTTTTGCTTGTGGATGTGAGTCAATTGACTGAACCATGTTAAATATTTGTAACTCTTTTGGTGTATTTCTCTTTATTGTTTGATATATCATCGTCGAATATATGTTTTGTTATCTTCCGCATGACACCTGATTGTTTCGATCCTAACTTTGTCGCCCTGTCTAGTTGATAATCAAGTGCCATAAGCATATTGCAACTTGATCACTCACAATTCCTCCTGCTCCTGCTCCTGCTCCAGCTCTTCCCCCTGCTAATTTACTCTCATCTATGTTTACATTAATCCAACTCAGTTCAGGCATTTCTCACTTAACGACTTCTAATTATTTAATCGTCTAATCAATCAACAATAATCAATCCAATTATCTCCTTTACAATTACAAATGTAAGATTCTAGCAAATATTGATATCTATAGCTTTTGTATATAGGAGTCATAAGAAAAGAAACAGATCTACAGAAAAGAAGAATGAAGAAGACATATTAGTCGTGAACGTGGATATACCTTGTATTATAAGACTAGAAATTTATATACCTTAATCACATGCATCTATGTCGAATGACAAAGTACTTGCTAAAGTATCAAAAGTTAGCCCTACACCCTGGAGTTGATTATTGCCTAATAATGAGACGTCGCTATTCCACCCTAAAAAAGCCAGACAATAGTGCCCACGAAAATGCACAACGACTCGTTTTTGTGCCAACAACAACATTGTCCGCGGATCTTCACTACCAAAATATAACTTCACAACAGGAAAATATAGATTGCGACCATTTGGATCCTCTTTATAGCACGTATCAAAAGGTCCGATGGGACCTTCGACCATAGGAATATCTCGTACTTCAGCTCTAAATATGTAACTGTTTACCCTCGAATCCGGATAACAATTGAATTTATATGGGGTTTTAAGGATCCGTGAACTAAAAGATACAAAAGGTTTTTAGGTTAAGGAAAATAAAGATAAAGACTCAACAATTGCTGTTAAAGTAAATAATCGCAGAATATAATATTGCTTAGAACAATTGTGCTTGATGATCCACAAGAATTTAGAGAGATCCCCTTTTATACATTCTGATTAAGGGTAAAAATAAGGTAGGTAAATTGATTACATCGTGGATCCCTGTAATTACGCCTTAATGGCCTGAAGTGGTTGAGAAAATCACGTTTGGGCGAGATATCCGGCGATGCTTGGTTATCCGTTACGAGTCCGGCTTCCGACCTTGCGTGTTTCTCCATCCGGTGGTGACTCCTATCGAGCTCTGTAACGGTCTCGAAATGACTCGACCTCGGTTGTAGACGTGGCCGTCGTTCTACCTTGCATCCAGGTCGGGTTCGATGGCCCCGATTTGCTCCGGACCGGACCCAACCCGGTCGGGCTCAAGCAAAAAAGGGTATCACCCAATACAGATAGTCCCCTCGTTTATTAGAGAGTAATGATAATAAACGATATGACCGGTGACGTGATGCCCGTGACGTATGGCCATACGCCAGGTGAAAAAGCCATCGAGTGCTCTGGCCACGCCTGCTGCAGGCATTTAATGCTTCTCTTAATTATCTGTCGCTTCGTGTCTGTGGCTTCGCGATTCGTGCCACCGCCTCATGGAAAAAGTATAAACGACCCTTCCAGGTTCAACATTTCCTATCTTTCTCAAATTCTGCGTTGGTTGTATTTTCTTTTCATCTCTTCGTAAAGCTTTAAGAAATGGCGAAAACTTCACAAAGTGTTCCTTCTAGACCAAGCTCGGCCGCGAGCCCCGCTAGATCTGATGAACATGCACCAGAACCCCCATTGAAAGCATTCACACCGACTGGTTGCTCGGTATCTGCCGACTTCCAGGTTGAAAACCCATCATCGGTCCCGGGCCGCGGCAAACCGGCATCGGAGTATATTAGTCTAATCACTCCCGGTTGCCTAGACCGGGTGAGGGCTGAATGTAGATGGGAAGGGAAAGACCTGGTCGCCCCTTCCCGTGACGAGTCGATTATGACTCACGTTGAAGGATATCTTAGTGTATATACATATCCCTTCACCTTAGGCCCCTTAGAACCCATCATAGTGGAGTTCTGCCGGCGGTACGAGGTGACCTTAGGTCAGATCCACCCCTCGATGTGGCGGATCGTATATCTCTTTCGGTTTTTTGTTGAGANAGCCCCACGGTGGGCGCCAAACTGTTTACCCTCGAATCCGGATAACAATTGAATTTATATGGGGTTTTAAGGATCCGTGAACTAAAAGATACAAAAGGTTTTTAGGTTAAGGAAAATAAAGATAAAGACTCAACAATTGCTGTTAAAGTAAATAATCGCAGAATATAATATTGCTTAGAACAATTGTGCTTGATGATCCACAAGAATTTAGAGAGATCCCCTTTTATACATTCTGATTAAGGGTAAAAATAAGGTAGGTAAATTGATTACATCGTGGATCCCTGTAATTACGCCTTAATGGCCTGAAGTGGTTGAGAAAATCACGTTTGGGCGAGATATCCGGCGACGCTTGGTTATCCGTTACGAGTCCGGCTTCCGACCTTGCGTGTTTCTCCATCCGGTGGTGACTCCTATCGAGCTCTGTAACGGTCTCGAAATGACTCGACCTCGGTTGTAGACGTGGCCGTCGTTCTACCTTGCATCCAGGTCGGGTTCGATGGCCCCGATTTGCTCCGGACCGGACCCAACCCGGTCGGGCTCAAGCAAAAAAGGGTATCACCCAATACAGTAACGAAATATGACATAAAAATCATTTGGAAAACGGGTAAATGTTGTGCCTGTATCCAAGACGACTCCACCACTCATATCTCTTTTGAAACGCCACCATGATGGCTTAACCGGGACTGCCTTATCATTAATAAAAACTTTATAAAGGTTTACAAAATGAAGTGTTGGGTACCTATAATTTGGTAATAATTTTGCTGATGTTGCTCTAGGCCACGGAGTTTTATGGAAACTAATTGTAGATCCCTTTCTTGAATAAAAACTTGGTAAACACATGGAAAATAGGCTAGCCCCAAATTGTGATGGTAAAGAATATCCACCTACTTTTAGTGAGTTTACTCTACGTCCGAGGCCAGCAATCCCAGAATATGTACCAGTGAAGTTTCTTTCACCGATTTGATCTTTGCCACATCCAAATGTAACCCTAACTGGTCTTTGATCTAAAACAAAAGTAATCACATCATCTGCCAAAAAACCTTTTGTTCTTGATCCATCCGTATATGTAAAATTATACCTACACTCACGACTATTTTGGTCACAGCGTAAAGTTGGATCCTCAATCATGCAACTTGAACCACGTCGAATGCAATCGACTTTTCGGAAAGTTTTGGAAGTAGTAGAATCATATAGAGGCTGATTTTGTTTGTAACACTTATTTGCCTCACATGGTCCACATTGCCACCAAACTAAATCACTTCCACTATCTATTAGCAAGAAACTTCTGACTTCGTCACTGCCTAGCAAAAAAGATGCAACATACTCACCATTCGCGTAGTAGGTACCTGTTGTTTTTGGGACTTTTTCGCGAATCTTACCTCCTTGTGCATCGTCTTGCCATGTGAGATTTGCACCTTCTTTAATGTTGTTATCATCTTCAAAAAATGAAGATAAATAACTTGCTCTAGCATGACATCGAGCAAGCCTACTTGTAAGTAATGAGTCGTAGTCCTTGAACTTTGATTTTTCTAATACATCGCGGTTGTAAAGAGTAAAAGTATAGGATGGCATTGGAGGATCTGAAATCTTAGATGGATCAAGAGACATAAATTTTTCTTTAGCTTGTTTAATATAAGTGGAATTAAGGGGTGAAAGAAATGTTTCATTGCCCAACACTACAAACAAAATTGAGAAAATAGTTGAAGTTAAAAGGTGAATATGAAGGAGGTTTTCCATTGCTATGGAAATTTCAATTTGAAATATGTCCACTACTCTTGTAATCATCTATATACTGGTTTAAATTTCTGTAACCTTTCCAACCTTATATGCCTAAAATAGGAATGAAAAATCGGAGTTAATTATACAGATTTTAAATATCTTTCAAAAGCAATAGCGTAAACAAGTATAAAAGGGATTGGTTAATTCTCAATAAAATCAATTTTAAATATTTTCCCTTTTTGTCTTTACTTGTTAAGAGGGTCATCAGTACTGTTTGGCCTCTTCTTGATTTTGTTAAATAAATGAAGTTTTGGCAGGAAAATCTTTCCTAATTATATTTAGCATGAAATCACATCGGATAATTTATTAAGAATTTGGTTGGGACTCTATACTATTTAGGAATTTTATTAATGTTGATTCACTAATCACATTGTATTGAGCATAAAGCATACTCAGATAAAAGCTTATACGTATCAGGTGTTTAAACCAAACAAACAAATGCATATCACATACAGTCAGACATCTCTATATTACAGTCATTCATTATAAAAGTCAAGTTTTCTCGAAACCGATTTTTATGTTATGTTATAATATACATTCTCTATAACAACACTCCATTATAACGGCCAAAAAATATCGGAACAAACAAGGCTCTTATAGAGAGGTTTGATTGTATTTGCACATACAATTTTTCACTTAACCATGATTAATTAACATGTATTTTCATCTCATTAGATCATTTAAAATGGTAATTTGATATGGGTTTAAGAAATTTCATTGCCAAAATTTTCAAGCAAGAATTTTTTTTTTTTAAAAAAAAAAGTGACATCAAAATTTGGTTTGACATATGTCTACAACTACAACTGCATACAATCATGTATATTCCGTTGTAATCTTCATTTATTCTTTCCAACAATATTTTAAAAATTTGGAGGAAACATCAGAATTAAATATACAGATTTGATTTCCTTTGAGAAGCAATTGGTCTGAACAAGTAGGATTGTGATAAGTTCTTAATAAAAGCCAATATCAAAATTTTTAGCTCTTTTTGCCATTTCTATAGTTGTTAAAAGATTCAGAGTTTGATCTCTATACTCCATCTTCATTTTATCAAATGAAATGACGTAGTATTTAATTTAGTAGGAAAAAAGTTCCAAAATAGAGCATGAAATTTCGGTCGTTTAATTGAAGATTGAAAATTATCAGTTGAAGTTTTTTTCTTTTTCTTTTTCTTTTTTTGCTTAATGCAATAGGTAATGGAAATTCACTTATTACATTAATTCGGTTTTGCGGGGAGAAATTCAAAATAGCCAAATTTACAAGTGATCATTCAAAAATAGTCATAGTTTCAAAAGTAATCGAAATTTAGCCACTTTTCATGTAAAGATAAATCTGAACGACATTGTTCAAAATCCGAAAAAATACTCCAGTATAATATACTATACTGGAGTTCCAGCATAAGTATACTGGAACTCCAGCATAATATACTGGAGATTGGAGCACCGGTGCTCCAATCTCCAATATATTATACTGGAACTTTCCGCGTGTTGGAGTTCTAGCATAATATGCTGGAAGTTCATATACAGGTGCACCGATCTCTGGTATATTATACTGGAACTTTCCGTGTTGCGGCAAAATAGTGGCTATTTTTTAATGACTTTGCAAATGCTGGCTATTTTTGAATGACCAGTCCGAAAACTGGCTAGTCTGTGCTATTTTTATGGTTTTCCGCAGTGTAAGCCCACAAAACGTAATTAGGCTTTGCGAGTAAGCCCACAAAGGGGTAACTGGGACTCGCGGGAGAAACTCAAAAATAGCCAGATTTACAAGTGGTTATTCAAAAATAGCCACAGTTTCAAAAGTAATCGAAATTTAGCCACTTTTCATGTAAAGATAAATATGAACGAAAACACTATTCAAAATCCGGAAAATACTCTAGTATAATATACTGGAACTCCAATATACTGGAGTTCCAGCATAAGTATACTAGAACTCCAGTATATTATACTAGACTTCCAGCATAATATACTGGAGTTCCAGTATAATATACCGGTCCAACATAATATGTTGGAAGTTCATACGCATGTGCTCCAATCTCCAGTATATTATGATGGAACTTTCCACGTGTTGGAGTTCTAACATAATATGTTGGAAGTTCATACACAGGTGCACCGATCACCAGTATATTATGCCGGAACTTTTCGTGTTGCAGTAAAATAATAGCTATTTTTCAAATGAAAAACATTGGCTATTTTTGAATAACCAATGCGAAAACTGGCTAGCCCGTGCTATTTTTACGGGATTCGCGAGTAAGCTCACAAAGGGGTAATTGGGATTCGCGAGTAAGCCCACAAAGGGGTAATTGGGATTCGCGAGTAAGCTCACAAAGGAGCAAAACACTCTCTATTAAAAGGTCATTTATTTTAAGGGCTTGAGTCGAAACCTCTAATTAAGAATGAAAATCTTTAATCATCTCACTACATTAGGTGATTTGCACAAATAGGGCATAGCAACGGTGCCACAATTTATTTTTTAACCCCACTTGCCTCAAGCAGAATTTCAAGTTTAGTAAGTGTTGCCTCTCGCTTATTGCATGGCCAGCATTTTTTATCCTTTTTACCTTAAAAATTTGCCTATGGGGCAAGTGGAAATCGAAAAATCAAGATCATCTATTTTCAAGGTCATTTGGTTTAATAATAGGGCTAAAGGGAGCATATGTCAAGAAATGGGTGATTTTCAAGGATGGCCGTGGAATTGGGTGATCTTGATTTTTTTAATCCTAGTTCCTCCCTGAGTAGAAACTTCAAGCTTGATAAGTGTTTCCCTTCGCTTGTCCCATACACAATATTTTTTACTTTTGACCTTAAAGCTTTTTCCATGAGGCAAGTGGGAGTCAAAAATCAAGACCATTCATTTTCACCACCAGTACTCATTAGGTATAATTTCCTATCAAGTTAGCCCTTCAATATCTCGCTTGACTTGTTTCATTTTAGCCTTTTTCAAGAGAGAAGACTAAACCGCTACATTATTAAATGTGATTTTCGTACTATTTGAAATGACCAAGTCAAGATTAAGAGACAATAACAACAATATTTACACCAACTCATTGTATAATAGTCAAAAAAAAAAAAAAGATCTAGCAAAAGTCCAAATGCATCAAAACACTAGTAAGAAAATGATATACAAATTATATTAGATGAATAAACTCGTATTACTTTACAATATAAATCTCCCATCAAAATGTAAAGACAAACAAAGAAAAAAGAAAATACTAATTTTTTTATACTTTGCTATACTCAAAATTCCACTGCAATTCAACTTCTTCTCCATGATTCTTCTTGCAATGAAAGTAGAGCACAGTATATGCCACTAAACACAAGAAATTAACCAAAGAAGAAAAATTAACCAGAAATAAAGACACAAGTGTCTGGTTAATTATTCCTTTAGCACCTATGTTCATCTTCAAATAACTTTTGTACAATAATAAAGAAACTATAGAAAATAAGACATTTAAAATAAATCCATTTAATCTCTTCCCCTTAATAAGTGATCCAGCTTTTGCTATTGCCTTAATTCCATAACAATCTTCTTCAACCACTGAAATAATTAAAGCCAATATCCAAACAACCGATAAATATTGAAAAAAGAAGAAAGAAATTATTCCAACAAAAATTGCTATGGAGAAAAGGAAAATATTGGAAGTGGAAATTAGAAGAGGACTTAGCAAAAATAAAATAATAAAAAGGTAACCAATACCGAACATTTTCGTGTATAATCCAGTTATAATTGCATATTTAAATGCCCTGGAAATTCTTAAGACAAAGTCTTTGAGAGAAATATTGGTATTATTATAAGAAATGAAAGATAATATAATTGTTGCAATTGCATATAGAAAAGAGATGAAAAATAGAATAATAACAAGTGCAACATATAAAGTGAGAAGAATTTGGAAATCCTCTTTAATATCAGCAATAATTTTGGTGATTTTGAGGGTATTAGAAGTTGAAATAGATAAAATTGATACCTTGAGAGTAATATCATGAATCAAGAATTTAAGTTTGAAATTCAAGATTGAGAAGAGGATAGAAGAAATAAGAAAATAAATAAAACTTGTTAGTGCTAATAATTTTTTATTTCTTGGAAGTAATTGAAGGGATTCTTTGAGAATTGAGAGAAAACCAAAAAACTCCATGCTAGCTATTTCTTCAAGGTCCAAAAAAATTTTAGAGTCTCTAATTTGTTTGGACCAAAATAATAGCATTAGCTTGCTATTTATATTGCTTCTACGTTTGTTAGTACAATTTTATTTAATTAGTAAGTTATTAATTTGTGTGCTCAGTCAACATAGACTGAATCCAAGTAGAGTGCAAAAGATTGATGTACCACTTTATTTTCTTATTATCGTGGTATCTCTTTGTGTGCACGTTGATTATTCCATCGGATATATGTGTAGTTATGCTAACTTTTCTCACCAATAAGCTTAAAGATACACGAGGACAAATCATCCAGCATTTTTTTCGCTGGAATTTGGACCTGATATCACATGATTTACTTTTCACTTTATTGATCACTAAAGTCTATTGGAAACAGTCTCTCTATCCTCATAAAGTACGGATAAGATCTGTACGCACTATCCTCCCCAAACCTCACGATGTGGGATAATATTGTGTATGTTGTTATTGTTGTTATGTGTTATTGACCACTAAACCATATTCTTGATTATTGTGGTACCGCGTATAATTGTTTAATACAAGACGTTAGGTCGTAATTCTTATTTGACATTTTCATAGATGGCTTTGTCAAAATCACAATAGTCAACATTAAGGACATATCTTTTTATCTACTATAATGGGCATTAGGTCCTTGACACTAACAACAACAACATATAC